TCAGTTTGTGCCCATTGCCCCTTGTCCTGTCACTGGGCACCACTGAAAAGAGCTTGTCCCCATCCTCCTGACACCCACCCTTCAGATATTTGTAGGCATTTATAAGGTCCCCTCGCAGCCTTCTCTTCTTCAGGCTGAACAAGCCCAGTTCCCTCAACTCTCCCTGCTACCAGGTTTGTGTCAGGGAAGCACAGCACCCTGCACCTTCGCATCCCGTGCCCGCCAGCCTTTGGGCTCCTTCTGTGGTTTTGCTGCCTACGTTGAGCCCTCTCCTCTCGCAGGCTCCTAGCACTGCAGCCTCCGCACCTTCCGCCCTCCCGACACCCCTCATCTCAGCTCTCTGAGGAGGAAGTGTCCCCCTTCTTCAGCCCCAGCCCAGGAGCATCCTCACCTTTTCAGCTGGGAATCACCACCACGACAGAGGGCACTGGGAGCTTCTCTCAGTTTTATCCCCGACATTGCCCAGTGTGGTTGTCCCCAGGTAAGGGTTACGCAGGCTGTGACACACCTTGCACCATCCTGGCTTGTTAAAACACGGCATATCCTTGCTGTTCAAACAGCATCCACATTTAATGAGGAGCCCGTAGGAAAGATGGGGACAATCTTTTTAGTAGAGACAACAGCAGCAGGACAAGGGGTGATGGTTTTAAACTAAAACAGGGTAGGTTTAGGCTGGATATAAGGAAGAAATTCTTTGCAATGAGGGTGGTGAAACACTGGAACGGGTTGCCCAGAGAGGCAGTGGAGGCCCCATCCCTGGAAACATTCAAGACCAGGTTGGACAGGGGTCTGAGCAACCTGACCTGGTTAGCGGTGTCCCTGCTCGCTGCGGGGGGGTTGGACTAGATGAGCTCTAGGGGTCCCTTCCAGCCCACAACTTTCTAAAAACTTTCTAATCCCACCTTTACATAGCAAACTCACTCCAGTGCCATTAGCAGAAGAAACCTCTGCTTCACCCAGCCGAGAAAGCTGACATCTGTTGCAAGACAAAGCCAAAAGAAGGTGAATTTGTCTTAGCGTCTCATGTTTTATTTCTTGTTTGTGCGATGCTTGGAAAAGGCTTTCACAGTCCCCAGGCTGGTGCTCAATTTCTTCATCTGCAGAATTCAAAGGCTGACTTTCACGGAGCCAATATAAAAATCCAGGTACATGCCAGAACAGGAGCTTTATGTGTTCAGCCTTTTTTCACAGCTTGCAGGATATTCGATGCTGATATTAATTTTCTAGATTAAAAAAGTTTTCTTTTAATCAAAAATCTTCTGATCCGTTTGCAGAGTGCTTATTTCATACCGGCTAATCACGTCACAGGGCAGCTCCCTGAAGGACATGGTACAGGTTCTGTTTCCAGACACCATGCCAAGAGAAGGGCTCTTCCACAGCTCCACTGCTCTTGTCTGCAATAACAAAGAGCTCCTCAGCTGTTATTTGTTTGGACACAATACCCTGGCTTTCACACCCAGATTGCTCTCTCCCCTGACATTCGTCCCTCCATCGCTGCCACCAGCAACCCCTCTCCCTGCTGGCTGCAGCAGCGGTAGCACAGGGCACCCATCCCTCTGCGTCGTGACCCCCACAACCCTTTCATCATCACTGGCTGCAGATCTGCCTCCAGCTCATTGAGAAACGATGGAAAAAATAGTGCTAAATATCGCAAAGGTTGGTTTGATCACTATTTTCTCCATTCTTTGAGTGTCAGAGCATGGACACAAGAAACAGGAATGGTTCTCCTGCTCCGTTGTGGACGTCAGTGGGACCTGGTGAAAACGGACACCGTGGTGGCAACACTGCCGTGAGATCTCCCAGGCACACTGCAACAAGAATCATAGAATCATAGCATCATAGAGTCATAGAGTCACAGAATGCTTCGGGTTGGAAAGGACCTTTAGAGGTCATCTAGCCCAACCCCCCTGCAGTCAGCAGGGACACCTTTAACTAGACCAGGTTGCTCAGAGCCCTGTCCAACCTGACTTGGAATGGTTCCAGGCATGGGGCATCTACAGCTTCTCTGTGCAACCTGGGCCAGGGCCTCACCACCCTCAGCGTAAAGAATTTCTTCTTTAGCTCTCATCTAAATCTCCCCTCTTTCAGCCTAAAGCCAGCACCCCTTGTCCCATCACCCCATGCCCTTGGCCCAGACCCTCTCCAGCTCTCTCGCAGCCCCTCCAGGCACTGGCAGCTGCTCTCAGCTCTCCCCGCAGCCTTCTCCTCCCCAGCCTGACCAGCCCCAGCTCTCCCAGCCTTTCCTCTGCAGCAGCAACCACATCCTCTGCTTTGTGGGGATGTGCATGATGTCAGCGTCAGAGGGAGGGATGCAGGGACCTGATGGAGCAGGCTGTGGACACCTCCTCCCTCAGCCATCCAGCTCCCACCCCACAGTCCTGGCTCAGTAACGGGGAGCTCTGTCCCAGCAGGCGAGCAGTGCTGCTGGTAACCCCACGGCCGCTCAGCAGAGCTGCTGTTGGTTCCTACACTGGTGGCACTCAGGGAAGGAGAAGGACACGACTCTCCCTGGTATCCCTACAGGAAAGCTGACATCTCCTGCCCACCTTCTTCAGGGAACAATTTCTCGCTGAAACAACTGAAGCTGTTTCCAGTCAGCTCGTGTGCTGCACTAGGCGATGCCTCCTGGCAACCGGTGCACACACACGTCAACGAATTGTCACCTCTTGAGATATTTTCAGGATCGCTCGCTGCTCAAAGTTGACGCTGATATCTGATGGGAGGACAAGACAGCAGGGCTCTAGCAACCTAGGAGATCTGTATACGCGTTGATGACACCTGGCACAGCTGAGGAAGGATCCAACTAGGGCTCTAGCAACCTAGGAGATCTGTATATGCATTGATGACACCTGGCACAGCTGAGCAAGGATCCAACAAGTAAAGGGGCTCTGCTGGACCTGGTACTTGGAAACAAGGATGAACTGGTCAGGGATGTGAATGCTGGAGGCAGCCTTGGACACAGTGACCCAGAGACCGAGGGGGTCGTGGC